AATAATTTGAACTAGAATAAAAATTTTCATTTATATGTATAAATTATTTATAACAATCAAAATGTATTACGCTTAAAATAAATTATAATTCAAATGTCAATCACTTTTAACAAATAATAATAATTAACGTGTTTTGTATAGAAATTCATTTAGTTTTTAGTAAGGATTGAGTTTACGAGTGAATAGAGAAAAATAATAAACAAAACAAAATAACAACAAAATTCTCAAACACTTAGTCTCACAAGAATTGGCGGCTAATAGTGACTAAAATATCTTAATTTCCGTAAACTTGATACCATATGAACACTAAAATAAGTTAACTATAAAGCTAAGTTTATCTCAAATAAATCTAATCGCTATTTTGATTAACTGTCAACTTATCCAAACATTTACACCATAAGGGGACAGTTAGCACGATTCAATTAAATCACAATTTAATTTAAATATAAATCTAAAATTAATTATTTTGCAAACCTTTAACATATTATAAACAGTTTTTTATTCAACAAAACTTTTCAAATAAATCTTATAATTTAAAAATTTAAAAAAATTAAATCTAATAACTATTGTGTAAAACGGATTCAAATGATGAGACTAGGGATGGGAGGTATGGGAAGGCTGTCTGTCAAACCCCAGGCCGTCTATACATGAAAGCCGGTGCTGACCCACACTTGACTACACTTTTGCGATACAATACACACGACGAGTGATATATTTTTAGATAACCTACAGATCGGGTTTGACTCGACTTTTTTCACTCAATTACAGTACAAATTCATTATAAAAATAATCAAAACTTAATATAAAAAGTATTACACTATTTATGTTGAGAAATGGGTCAATACTTATACGTTTGTAGTGAAGGGAACTGGACTTTAGAGGGAAAACTATTTTCACATGTCTTATCACTGTATTGTCTTAACGTTTATATAATATTATTGTTTTATTATTAGTTATAAAATATTGTGTTTAATATTATATACGTTTTATTTTCTAACCAGTCATTCAAATGCAGTCAAAAATATATACAAATTGACATTTATTTTTATTTATAAATTCATGGTAATAAAAAAGTTTGTACAGTGGTGTTTATGGGGCCAATAGTTTTGTATGAGACATACCGGTCCTTAACTTATTATTTGTGTATTTTTGCAACTTTTGTTTAAATTAAAAATAGTCATATTTTACGTGTCATCTATCAAATATAATTTATTTTAATGTGTTTATGATATAAAAATAATGTGTTTTGGTCGCATAATAATAATCAACATACTTATTATAATTTTATGTCAATAGGATTTAAGGTAAAATACAATTTTAATATTTTTAGTTATTTAAATAATTAATTTACATCAGTTATGTAACATAACCATGATTTCATTGTAGAATTAATTTATATTTTTTATATACAGTACAACTAAATTACTATTAAATAAATTCATGTAATATTAAGTGAGTTGAGTAACGGTTAGACTAATAATAAAATTAGTTTTAATATTCTTGTTATTATATTTAATTTTTTATTAATAAATTACAGGTATACTAATATTGTACTTATTAACAAACACCAAAAATTCCCAATTTTTAGACAAATTTATAAATAATCGTTTCAAATGTACGGTATTTCTAGAAACGTAACTATTATTAAAATTATAAGGGATATAATTAATTTTGTTTAATTTTTACCCATTTGTACACAACGATACTTGGGAAAAATAATAAATATTTGAAGTTTTCAAAAGCATTCATTTTTATAAAACATTTATTTTTCATAGTTTGTGCTGTTTTACTTAAATTAGTTTTAAAACTTTTAACAGTCAATATACTTTTAGTGTTTAAATTAATTTTATGATTTAATCTATATTTAGTGTCAATTACTTAACATAATATTAATAGGCAAAAAAAAGTCAATTAATTACTACATCAAGTGCTCACAAGTAATAAATAATTGCTTTAATTTTAATGAAAACATGAAAACAGTGATCAAGAAATGGGTTAAAAAAGTTGTACTTATTTTACACACACTTCTATTGACAAAAAGTTTGAAAATAAGTTTTCAACACATTTTCTATTAAATGAATTTTACTTCAAAAAAGCAGTAAAACAATCTAAACTACAAATATTTAGTAAAGTGTCTGAAAATACTGTACAGTATAGCCAAAAAACTTTTCAAAAGTTTTTCACTCATATCTCCACAACTTTTTCCATACTTTAGATTTAAAAAAGTTTTAATTCATTGAAAACTTAACCGAAAATAATGCAAAACCCGTGGAGAGAGTCGGCAAATGTGTTGCTATTGAGGCCAATCACATCACCACAAACTGATCCCACACTTTGCGACTACGAGATGCTCACCATCAGTGGCGACACAACCCGTGGCATACGATCGGCCAGTTATGTGACACCTGGGGGTCCACTACACGCCTCCGACTTATCGCCCAAATGGTGGGCACTGTTCGAGAGACTCGGAGTTCAGACGACGAGTTTCGGGCGATTATCACCGGACGGGTCCGCCGCTCGACCGCCCATTATCTGCGATAACCTCTTCGTTGACGATCTCAGGCGCGGCTCATCTAATACTGAGGAGGACTTTGTCACCATTGATATGGCCTTAAGAATAGCCGCCATTCGCCATATCTTCACGCAAACAGGTCTGTCCACTGATGTCTTGAGAGCCATAAATATCGTATTAATTGTCTCGTAACAGGTATTCTTGTGGTGGACTCCATGTCCCCTAAGAGTCACGTGAATCCGGACGTGTTATGCGAATGGCGTGAAAGGGTTGGTCACTCACCCGACCAGTTCCACGCCCTGTGCCAGAGGTATGATCTGAAGCCTGACTTGTGGTCACTGAAGGAGTGGTGGAATTGGTTGACACCAGTCACTATCGGTCGCACCAATCGCTTCGACACTATCTACTACTTATGTGTCCTCCAGAGCCGCCACTCGCTCACTACCGGCGCTACGCATCACTGGTCGGCACCGGTAGCTCTGTTGACCGATCGCTATACCGATGGCTACACACTATCGCCGCCACAAGTCTATGAGTTGTGTAGACTTTTGAACTACTCGTCCGTCAAAGACCTGGAAGTGTTTGCCGCGCAGAGGGAGCGGGAGGGTTGTCACCGATGGCTCCCCTCCCTAGCTATGTATACGGACGGTGCTATCTCTACACTACCGGGTATTTCGTATAAAATGTACTTTTTTATGGATCTGTTTGAGTGACTTCTTGTGGTCTATGTCTTACAGGCGATGACTTATATCCGGAAACGGTTGAGTTGTTTGTGCGGAAACCCATCAAAACGTACGGACAGAGTGTACGAGAAATACGGGCGAAAAGCCAGCGCTTGAATCGCATGGAGTTAAGTGGTATTGACTGCGAGGTTGTATCGCATAACTCTGCCCAGCCGTGTGGTCACATCGCACCGGTATCTCAGTATTTGAGTCTGAATAGCACCCTATCAGCAGCTAAATTGTGATTTGAAAACCTGTACTTAACTTATGAATTCGTTTTAACATTAAATATTAGTAAATGAATACTAAATAATTAGCGAATTAATGATTTTATATGAACTTGTGCTTGCTTATCTCGAACAAATTGCGTACTCATGTGCCAGAAATAATCAGATTCAGCAGGATGAAAATATTAATAATGAATGAGTCGCACACTCACTATAAAATATCCATCTATGAGACGCCTCCTGAAAGGACCTCCTGTTGAGTGGGCGTTATCTTCAGTCTCGCATTCAATGTCTTCACTATGGACTCAATCCATGTCACCAACGGTTCCATCAGTAATGCTGTCAACGGATTGGCCATCAGTTTCAGTGCAAAATAGTCGTCGAAATAAAGTTTTGAGTAAACGTCGGAAATTGAATCAATTAAATGTTTAGGTGTGCTAGCTTAGTTTTATAGCCAGATTAACACTATCAATATTGTAATCGCCTTTGAACACAGTCGACTCAAACGTTATTTAAATGATTTAGAAAATATTGGTTATTAGCATATAATTACTGGCGCTAATTACTAGAAATTGATAGATTTCATAGCTATTCATTGCAAACAAATTATAACAATAGAAACCAATCTGCGGTCCATTAGGTGATAACCTCTCCATAAATGCAATCACTTTCAACCTTTCCCTCAGCGATAGGACCGGTGTTTGGGACATATATGACAGCAATAATCTATAGGGTCTATGAGCTGACCTTGGTATCCATATAAACAGTAAACTAACTGTAAATGTCCCTAAATAAATAAATATTGTAGCCGCTACCATGATTAACCTACCAATGAGTGTTGTATCGTGTTTATGTGCGGAATAAATACATAATTCAAAGAAAATTGAGTGGATATAATATATGATGAAAATTAACAAACAAATCGTTTCATTTATGTCACGCACCCAACCCTCATAGTAATTATGTTCAACTATAGCCTTTATTAATTGACGTGGGTTGTTTCGTATGATACTCAAATGTATACTATGGTTTATATCGATAAATTTATCTATTAAATAGACGCTACCAATATAACCATTAAGCGCCGCCATACATATAATCCCACATAATTCAATGCATATAAGGATTACCGATAGATACAATATTGAAGCGCTTATCAATTTTATCATGCTAAATTCTTCGTACAACCCCATTGTAATTATTATTAAAAATACACCACATATTACTATAAATGATACCCAAATTAGTTTACAAATAATTTGTAGCATGTTTAATCTTAAGCTAATTATACTGCGTTTATAGTTGTTCAATGGGTATTTAATGAGATTATACCTTATTTGGTATACGAACTTAGCAAGGTGTAACTTTCTAGTGCGTTCATGATACAATATAGTGGTCTCAATTAATATGCATGATAATATGAGAATGCTAATCATGGTCCCAAATATTGTCCTGTTGCCAAAGTAATCAGCAATATTTAGGGTTAATTCACGGATAACAGGGTGATTTATAAATAAACCAACACTTAATCCGCAACACATTACAATTTTTACAATAATTAACCAGATAAGTTTACTACGCGAATACGCGCCAGTGACTAGCTCATTGTAATTATTTGATAATGTAACACATTGGTATTTGATGTATTTGTCGAACCTGCTCATTTCACTTGTAAGATTCTTGTGTCTCTCTGCATAATTAACAATGATATCCAATACAGTAGTCTTAATGTTTAGACATTTGAGTTTAATTTTATTGATCATGTTAATAACTAATTTAATAAACATTTAAAAATTAGTTCATATATTTTGAGCAACAATAATACACTATACAATAATACACTTTATGTATACTTTAGTATTATAGCTATACTATATATAGTTTACTAAATATTTTAGTATAATTTTTTTTAAGATCACATAATATTAAATACTTATGAATTAATAAATAAACTCAACATTCATTTGGTACGTATATCTGTACCATTATACATATCATTTGGTACGTGCACAATCTTAAACTAAAATAACGTTATAGCTAATAGTGCATATATTGAGAAAATAGATGTATTATTGATTTTACATTAAATTTGAAGTTTTAGATCATATTTACTTTATTATAAGCTAATTTACTTTAGATAATGGACAGTCATTATGATTATTTCGTAATTTAATTGTGTAATAGTATAGAAAGTAATTTGCCTTTATTATTTATTAGTAATAAATTATTACATTTAATAACGACAATATTTAAATATAACAGTATTGCATACTATACCTAAAATCTATGGAAACTTAAGGTTATACAGTATTAACAGACTGTTAGTAACAGTACAGTCGTAAGTACGTTGTTTGTGAACAATCAAGTTTTGATCAAATTAGTGCAAGTTTGTGGGCCCATACTGTACGTAAAGTTGGGCATGCTAAGTTCAATATAACATCTAGTCCTACAATAAATACAATCGGTGAACACGATTATCACTTTAATGCTAATTGTGATTAATTAAATGTATTGTTTTAGTCAAATAAAGTTTTGTATGTTATAAATAAGTTGTACTGTACTTAATGTGTTGCAGGTGTGCTTAACGCATAGGCGCCCTACCTTTACATTCATAAATATAGAATGCTATAACAATAATAAATTGAACAGGGTATTGATTTTAATACGACAGTTTTTTTGAGACTAAAATGTATTTTAAATTTAAATAACTTTAAACCTAGTTACATTTAAATAACAATTAACCTAGTGGCATCAAATCATCACTAATTATTTGCTTGATAATAATCATTTTGATTGTATTTGTGTTCACTTGTTTAGATGGGTGATCAATAGTCACAACAATACCTAACGTTGCAATTAAATGTGTCTGGTTTATTTTAAAATCATCATTTAGTTTGAAATTAAAACGCGACCCATTGGTCGCAATTGAACTTGTTTGTATGTTATTCAATGGGAATCAACTATTAATCATTTGAGTCGCATTCAAATCAATACTTTAGTATACATTATATACAGTATATATTATGTATGTATATATTATATATATAGAAATAGTATATATTATGTATGTATATATTATATATATAGAAATAGTATATATTAGTATACATTATATACCTTAGTATACAGTGTATATGCGGGTCTCGTGTAATCATATTGGGGGCCATTCACGCACTTCGTTACCTTCAGTGGCCTTCAAAAGGCTAGAGTGGGAACGGCTTCGCTCTCATTGGTTGGTTCGATGGACAGTGCGCTCGCATGACATCACCCGTGGATCCAATGGACAGACCATCCAATAAGCGACTCATCCAAATGGTGGACCGACTCACCAAACATGAGATGGTAGACGTGTTAAGAAAATTTGGTCGACCATTCGGTCACTGCAAACAGCTATTGACCACTCGTTTGCATCAACTGATCCGCGGTGTGGACCACCGCACCATCGATGGCCATCGATTGTCGCGTGTTATACAAGACATGTATCGACTCCAATGTACGTACTGTCTTGTGGTGGTTGCCACTGACCTCTTACTTACCATTGGTTCCCATTTTTCAGGTCATTTGTATGGTCTTAAGCGGCAAAAGGTTGCGCCCATTAGACCGACATTGGATTCACAGACACAGCAGTGGACACCGATTCAGAGGAATAATATCAGTGATAGTAGTGGTGGTCGACTGTCATCGACGAGTAAAATCAATACCAATAACAAAGACATCGCTTCCAATACAACCACTATTAGTGGTAAACCGAGTGATAGGTCTATGGGTAGCCTGAGGTCGAAGACATTTAAGACACCACTTAAGTTGTCAGCTCTTAATGGTGTAAGTGGTGGTAGAGTGCCATCAGTGAGCACTTCCAGCAAAAGCACGAGATTTAATACATTGAACGACACGTCCAATGAAGTAATGAGTGAACAGATCCGAGGTATGCATTACCCTATCGATGGCCAGTCATATGTGTCGTATGAATGGTAGCATTGCTATCACTCCTATCTGTTCCCATGCGATAGGAACACAGACACTCATTGGTGTATTAAATGGTTGGCCACACATCTCATGCGTACCATTGTTTGTCTTTTTCAGATAATTGGATGAATGAGACGCCACGGATCAAACGAAAGGGTCGGCGCCAACGGGAGCCAAGGGGTACGTCATCCACGGGACCACGAGGTATGGCCCGATCTAAGAGAAAAAGAGGTAGAAGTCCTCCAAGAAGTGCACCCGTGAAGAGACCACCGATGATAAGTGATAGCCCTTCCAAAACAGTCAATCTTTGCGGTGAATTGTGTGATATCTTTGAGTTAATCGATATAAAAATGTTTGACGAAACGGATGACGCAACCAGTGATCATAAACCGACAAATAATTCAAAGCCATCGAAGTCTGTGCCATTGAATGCCAATAATTGGTTCAAACGTTTGCCAAAGTTTCTAATTTTTAAAACACTGGTTAAACCCGTAGTAATCGATAGGATAACTGATTTCGGGGTAAAGAAGTCATTCACAGTCTCTGAGGAAGACTTTACTTACAGATACTTCTCAGTGGACAGGGATTTGAGTGACATTTTGGCAAAAAATTCATTTGAGATTCAGTTGCGGTTCAGTCATACGGCGGAAATGGAGGCCAAAGACTGTATTCCCGAACACATGTGTATTGATATGAATGGCCAACGATTTTATACATACTGTCCGCTCAATGAGAACCAGTTGTGCCGTCCATTCAATGTGAGCTCATTGTGTCGTTTGGGTGACAATGAGATCCAGTTCTCGATGGCCGTCAAAGATTATGAATACCCCGTGCCTTCACTTTACGAGATATCCATAGTTTGCGCACAAACTCCACAAACACTTCTCAACAAATTGGTGGCAAATCCGCAGCAATTGTTGGCCAGAGATGTGACCAAAGGGTTCATAAGACGGACAATGAATCCCAATGCGGACGAAGGCATCAGTTTAGTGAACGACTCCATCAAAGTGTCACTCATTTGTCCCGTAATTATGATTAAAATACTTTGAAATTAGATTTTAATAGTTTTCCAATCAATAGTTAAGTCGCCGGCGATTGGAGATCCCGTGCCGTACGACCGGCTGTCAGCATATGGAGTGCTTGGACGCCCTATCCTTCTTCGCGACCAATGAATGGCGTTATGAGTGGTTGTGTCCGATATGTTACTCCTCTGCGCGAAGGGATCTCATACTCGTGGACAGTATTTGACGCGAGTCTTACGTAAGACTCAGCCATCGGTTACCGCTATTCGTATCAAAAGCGACGCCTCTTATGAAGCAATCAATGAATCTCTCGAAGAGTTGACTCACAATCCCATTGATTGTGGTGACGATGACTGTGTAGTCATATACGAAAATGTTGTCCCAATTCTGTGATTTGTTATTTATTAATTAATTATAGTTTATTTATATTAAATTATAATCAAAGTTACGATTAATTAATTTAAAAAGTTTACATTTTCTAAAGTACTGCACATATTTATAAATTATAATTATGAATTTAAAATACCGTAATTAAATTGATTGAGTGTTTAATTTATTATATTTTGTCAAACTATGGTCAAACATACCGTAAAATTGTAACAATATTTAAGGTGAGCCAGCTCAGTCTTATTACCCGTAAAACCGTTATAGCCGTATAAAACAAAATTAGTTAAAAAGTTTGTATTCAAAAACACAGACATTATCTCCAATTTGTGGCAAATGTACGACAATTTGCTGACAGAACCGGTGGTCAGACCGGAGAAGCGGCGACTCATGAAGATGGCGGACCAGCTCACCAATAATGCGATGGCCAGCGTTTTGAGACAATTTGGTCGACCAATCCGGGGCCCAATCCGGGGCCCACTTCGGAACCGTTTGCACGAACTGATCGGCAACTGTCACAACACCGATCATTACGACCCATTGATTCCTGTCATTCAAGATCTATGTATTCTCAAGAGTAGGCCCTCTCTTGTGCCCATTGGAGTGCCATCCGAGGCGTCCGCCATTGAACAAGATTTTTGGGAACCCATTGTAACGGAGGATATCAGTGGTTGTAGTGATGGTAGAGTGACATTCATGAGCACATCCAATGTCAATGTCAGTGATAGTACTCCTAAGGCGTCTACAATCAGAGGTATATCTTATGGCAACTCTTTGAACAGAACTCGTGTTGAATCAAACAAATCGACCGCAAAGTGGAAGCCATTGAATAAAAACTATTCGTTCAGATATTTACCAAAGTTTGTAATCTATAAACCACTCGTCAAACCACAAGTAATCGACAGGATCTCCGATTTGGGGGTAAACAAGACATTCTGGATCTCTTCTCAAGACTTTTCACGCCAAGACTTATTAGCGGACAGGGATTTGAGTGAAATATTAACCAATAATTCAGTTGCGATTCAGTCATACGGCGGGAGTGGCCGTCAAAGACTGTATTCCCGAGCACTTGTGTATTGATATGAATGGCCAACGATTTTATACATACTGTCCGCTCAATGAGAAAAAGCTGAACTATCCATTAAATGTGAGCTCATGGTGTCGTTTAGGTGACAATGAGATCAAGTTCTCGATGGCTATCAAAAATTATGAATACATTTTGCCCTCACTTTACGAGATATCCATAGTTAGCGTACAAACGCCACAAACATTTGTCGACAGATTGTTGCTAAAGAAGCAGCAAATGTTGTCCATCGATGTCACCAAAGAGTTGATTCACCGCATATTGAGTCCCAATGCTGAGGAAGACATCAGTTTTGTGAACGACTCCATCAAAGTGTCACTCATTTGTCCCGTAATTGTGACACAAAACACTTTGAATTCAGTCTTTAATAAACTCTTAATTAATAGATAAGTCTTAAGCGATTGGAGATCCCATGCCGTACTGTCAATTGTCAGCACATGGAGTGCTTCGACGCCCTGTCCTTCTTCTCGACCAATGAATGGCGTAATGAGTGGTTGTGTCCGATATGTCAGTCCTCCGCCCGAAATGAGTTAATACGTGTCGACAAGTATTTTATGCAAATCATATGCAATACTCGGCCATCGGTTACAGCTATTTGTATGGATCTGGGTGATCTCCACTTTGTTAGAATTGTCTTTCAAAATACTAAAAGTTATTTGCTTGCACTGATACTGTATCTTGTGCACAGAAATTTCTAGGTTAAAAATTAAGCAGGTTAAACAGGTATAAAATAACTACATAGAGAAAATTAATTTTTAACCTAGAAATTTCTGTGCACAAGATACAGTATCAGTGCAAGCAAATAAATTTTAGTATTTTGAAAGACAATTCTAACAAAGTGGAGATCACCCAGATCCATTGAGTCGTTGCTGAGATTAATGGATTTCAAATCATAAAAATTT